GGGGGGGGGGGCCGGTCGCATCAAGGCGGCAGTCTGGGAATTCTGGTGCGCGTTGGAGAGCCGGGCTTGGTTCCAGGCCCGCTCCCTGCTCTCCCCTCGGCTACATGGCTAGCGCCGTGCTAGCGGGGCAGGCGCGCCTGGTGGTCGCCGAGCGTGGTCATGTCCGCGCAGACGCAGGAGTGCCAGTCCGGGTCTGTGCCGTGGTCGGGGCAGCCCGGCTCGTGCCCGAGGGCCGCGTCGGCGGAGGGCGCCTTGCAGCAGGCGCCGAGCGCGCCGCAGTAGCCGGGGCAGAGGCCTCCCTTGCCGCCGCACGCGTCCCAGCAGTTCTCACCGATGTGGTCGATCGGCTCGTGCTTGGACGTGATGACCTGCACGTTGAAGTAGGCGCCTGCGTCGGTGTGGCCCGCGACGCCGCCGAGGATGGGCAGCTCGTACTGCCCCTCCTCGAGGTCTGTCATCAGGTTGGCACCCATGTAGTCGTTCACGAAGTAGAACGAGTCCTGCGGAGAGGGGCGTGTGTGTGTGTGTGTGTGTGTGTGTGTGTGTGTGTGTGCGAGTGCGAGTGCGTGTGCGTGACAGAGAGAGGGGAGGGGAGGAGAGAGTCGCTGCCTCATCGAAGAGCTCGAGGAGGAAGGCCTTCCCCTCCGCCTATTGGCCGCTCCGTCGCCCGCACCTCACCACACACCAGTCAGGGCGGGGGAGGCCTGTCCGCCCCCTCGCCTCGGTGATGTCGCAGCAGCTCGACCAGTTCGGCTCGAGCGAGTTGGAGACGACGTGCGTCGCGCACTCGTACGTCGGCACCGTGCCCGGCCGGTCGTTGTGCGCCTGCACGCAGCGGAGACCGCGGCTCGACCTCGGCTATACCTCGGCTGGACCCCGCCTCGACCTCGGCTACCATCTCTGCTGGACCGACTTTGCGGGACCTCGGCCACGTCTCGTCCCCGGGACCTCGCCTACATCTCGCCTACATCTCGCCTATATCTCGGCTATATCTCGGCTCTATCTCGGCTCTGAATCAGAGGGAGAGAGCACGCAGTCGCGTGAGGGAGTCTGCAATTTTCGCTGCAAAGGGCAGAGAGAGAGAGAGGGAGAGAGAGAGAGAGAGGGAGGGAGAGAGAGAGAGAGAGAGAGAGAGAGAGAGAGCGGAGAGAGAGAGAGAGAGAGAGAGAGGGAGAGAGAGAGAGAGAGGAGAGAGGGAGAGAGAGAGAGAGAGAGAGAGAGGAGAGGAGCGAGGTTCGCACCTCGGCGACCTCGTCCTCCTTCTCGAGGTTGGAGAGGATGTCCTCCTCCATCTGCGTCGTCATCACGGCCGTGTGCTCCTCGGTCGCGCGGTACACCTTCTGGCGCGTCGCCTCGTCGCCGTGCGTCAGCGCGTATGTCACAAACTCGGGGCTCAGTCCGATGCGCTCGTTCTCCTCGCGGAAGGTCGAGATCTTGACCCAGCTGTCCGGGTAGCGGTACTTGCCCACGCGCGGGAAGTAGTCCGCCTCGACGAGCCCCTTGGCCGACATGACGCACAGGTACTTGCGTAGCTCGTGCGCCTAGTCCAGCCCCACCACTCTGAATTCATTCACGGCCGCGACGCACTCGGGGCCCTTGCGCCGCCGCTGCGCCTCGGCGCCAGCCTTGGCTTCGTCAAAGAGGAGCTTGTCGGTCGCCCCGCCGCCAACCTGCAGGGCCGGGGGGGGAGGCTGTGAGTCCAGGAGCCTGCCTCTGCGTGTGTGTGGGAGGGGTGTGGGAGGGCAGGCGGCGGGAGAGAGTCAGCTGGGGGGCAACCTTGACGGCGTCGATGTTCTGCGGCGGCGGCGGCGGCGGCGGGAAGAGCGGGATGCTGACGGTCAGGGTGGGCGCCGGCGCGTCGGCGTCGATCTCGAACTCGCCTCCCGAGAGGGCGAGCACGTAGGAGCCGGCCGTCGAGTTGGCGGGCAGCACCGCGGTGCCGAGCCAGTCCGCCTCGTCGCCGGTGAGGTCAGAGTCGAAGACGGAGAAGAAGTACTCGGAGTGCTCGTGGTGGCCGTGGACGTGGCAGCACATGTCCCAGAGCGGCGTCTCGTTGTTGTCGTGCTTGCCGGTCTGCGCGGTGGGGGGGGCGTGGCGAGGCGTTCAAGGCGGAGGCCGCGTGTCGCAAGCGGCAAGGCGAGCGGCGAGGCGTGTGTGGCGGGCCTTGCATACGAGGCGACCACCGAGTTCGACCTTCACCCAGCTTTCCGGCGCGGGCTTGCGCGGCCAGGAATCGACCCGGCCGGGCAAGTTGGCCGCGGACCGGATGCACACCTGCATCTCGCAGGCGCCCGTCTCCTCGGCTGCCGCACACGGCGCGGAGAGAAGGTAACCGCCTTGCTTTGCTCTTTCCCTTTGCTTCTCGAGGTTCGCGCCGGCGTTCAGCCGGTCGTAGGCGTCGGAAAGGACCAAGGTGGCGACCGACAGCATTGCGGCGAGGACCCAGGGAGCGCGGCTCGAGCCGCCTCTATTGATTAGGAATGAAGAAATGGTTCACTGCCTCCTTCTCTCTTCGCAGTGGAGGCAAATTTCTTCTGTACTTTTTCCGGGGTATGGTATGGTGCCCTCGGCGCCAAAAGGGTGGGGGGGGTATGGTCCTGACCGCCCAAGGCTAGCCGGTGGGGGGGGTATGGTACTTTAGCCGCGCGGACGGCCAGCGCGGCGCCTGCGGGTGCGGGTGCGGCGACCGGCGCGGGTGCCGCGCCCGCCGCTCGCCAGGCGATAGCCGACTTTGCCGCCGCGCTCTACTTCTAGACTAGCTAGCAGGGGCACTCGGCAGCGTGCACCTCGATCCTGTACCGTGTTTGTTATGACCCCCCCCAATGAACACACCAGTGAGGGTGGGCGAGACGATCGAGGGGTCCCGTACCATGCGGAACCGACCCTATCCAGTGCTCAAGTGCTCAAGCAGGGGCACTAACTCCAAACAAAACAAAAAAATCTCTCTCTCTAACTCCCGTTTGGGGCAAATGTAGATTTCCTGCCCAGCGTAAGGATATTTCTTTCATTTCTTTCGTCTTTATTTCGTGCCCCGCCACGGCAAATTTGCGAGAAATTTCTTCGCCCCGTCACTCCATGCTCAAGTTTCGCCCCTTTCCGTGTAAGGAAACAAGGTGTCCCCCATGTTGGACCAGGCACCGTGCGGGCCTGCCGTGCCTTGCTTGAGCCGGCAGGCCCGCGCGGCAGTGATGGTGCGCCTCCGCGGAGAGGCTGACGCTGGTCATCGGTCAGCAGTCAGCGGTCATCGGTCACCGGTCAAGCAGGTCATCGGGCGTCAGTGTCATTCAGGCGTCAGTGTCATTCGCGTCAACACAGGTATGGTAAATTTCCGGAAATTTCTCCTTCCGAACAAGGCTGTCATATTTCTCAAAATATTTCGGGAAATCTACATTTGCCCCAAAACTCCCGTGACGAAAAACGACCAACGCACCGGGCGCCTGCCCGAGAACTTGAGTTCGAATACGTAGGAGGCATCAGAGCAAAATTGAGCCCGCTCAGGTGTGAAAAATAATATAAGGGTCACTCGACCATCGAGGTGCCACCGGCCGACCTCAGCAGTTTAGATGTTCGTGGACCGGTAGCGTCGAACCGGCGGCCCATACCCGTAGCACATTACCGAGGGTTGGTAAAAAAGAAAGGGTTGCCAGGTGAGAGCGAATGGCGCGGTTCACGCCTCGCACAACAGAGTCACGCAGTCAGAGAGAGAGATGCGCTCTGCATGGTGGGACATAAAAGAGAGCGAGTACTTGGGCGAGTAGGCGCTGTGCGGTCAACGCTGCCGCGCGCGACTTTGCGCGCGAGGCGGCGCAGCTTGAGAACGGCGGTGGGCGAGAAGCCGCCGCCGAACGTCTCGTGGAGCAGCAGGTTGAAGTTGTTGCGCTTGACAAAGATCGCGTCGTGGTAGAAACCGCGATGCGCCTTGACGTAGCCGTGGCCGGTCTTGTGGGAGAAGGGTTGGCTGGGCTGCCCGCGCGCCTTGCAGCCCATGTTTAGGCGGCGGGCCTTCTCTTCGGTGTTGCCGAAGGCGTAGGAGTGGCCAACGGAGGCGGGCGTGCCGCCACTCGAGGCGTTGCCAACGCCCGGCGAGGAGGTAGGTCTTGAGGAGGGGCGTCCAGAGCTTGATTTCATTCACTTCATCGCACCCCCCCGGTCCCGCATGGGGTTCTGCGAGGTCGACCTTGTACCCCTCGTTGTACTGCCGGGTGAGCTCTGGTTTCTCCTTGTCGCCGTGCACGACCGGCGCGTTGGCCGGGGCGCGCATCGCGTCCGCCCAGGCGGCGAGGACGCCGTCGTGGGGCCGCCGGTGGTGGGCCTTGTTGTAAAGGTAGTCGCCGAAGAAATCGACTGGCATGCCCCGCTCGAGCGCGACCCGAAGGGTGGGAAGCGCCACGGAGAGCCAAAGGCCGAGCTTCCGCTGGAGCTCGTCCTGGAGGGTGTCGGAGGAGAGGGCGGTGGCGTACGTGCCGTCGACACGGACATCGAGGGCCTTGCCGGCGAAAGGCGTTGAGGCGGAGACGAAGCGCGCGGCTTCGCGGTTGTTGACGGCGCTGTCTCCGAGGGACGGGTTGTTCTTGACGTGCACATCCCGCGCCTTGACGAGCTCCTGGTGCGCGTTCCAGTCCTTGTGATTCTTGATGGCAGCGAGCGCCCGCGGCCGCGGGTACGTGGATTTGCAAGTGCCATTGGAGCAGGCGGACATCGCTTCCAGGGAGGGGGGCGTGCTTCTGCTCACACCACATGCTAGGGGGGGGGTCCGACCCCCCCCAGAGGCTTCACCACATGCTGGGGGGGGGTCCCGCCCCCCCCCAGCACCTTCACCACATGCTAGGGGGGGGTCGTGGCCGAGGACCCCCCCAGAGACTCGTGGTCAGACCCTCCGGGCCCTTGATTTTACGCCTCATTTCGCAGCATTTTCGAGGGGGAAATCATCTTTTGGAGCTACATGAGCCTTGAGACTGGTCAGATTCTCCAAGATATTGGACTTTCAGCCACGATTTCACAATTTTGGGGGCAAAATCGGCTCTCTGGCGGCTATTCCTAGCCCACGAACTGCTGGGGGGTGCCCACCACATGCTGGGGGGGGTCCGACCCCCCCCAGACGCTTCACCACATGCTAGGGGGGGGGTCCCGACCCCCCCAGCAGCGCCTTCACCACATGCTAGGGGGGGGGTGGAGCGTGAGCAGAAGCACGCCCCCCTCCCTGGAAGCGATGTCCGCCTGCTCTTGAGAATCGCGTCGGTAGCTGGAAGGGACTCGGGCTGGGGGAGCGGGACGCTCTTGGGGTAGAACTCAGTCAGGTAGCCGCCGCGGACGGTGTGGTACTTGTTTTTGTCGCGGGCGGTGCGCTTCTCGCACACCTCCTTCCAGTCCGAGAGGGCGGACTCGTAGGTGGCGATAGCTGCGGCGATGGCGCATGGCGGGGTACTTGGACGCACCTCCCTCGTCGAGGGCGAAGTCGGGGTTGTGGGCGACGAGGGTGCGCCAGTTCTTGAGGAGCGACATGGAGAAGTCGCTGTCGGCTCGCGTGAAGGCGGTGTCGATGTTGCACCCGCCCATCTCGGTCGGCAGCTGCGCCTGGAGCCACGCGAGGTCGCGGAGCGCGCCTGGGGCGAGGCGTCGGCGCGAGCAATGCCCTCAAATTGTTTTGTGTTTGCCATGGGCGCCGAGAGAACATTCCCTCGAGAGGACAAAGAAAGCCGTCGCACCCCCTCCTTGCGCAGTGTCCCCCGCTATGTGTCGCCGATTGGGGCACGCTATCCTGTGCAGTCAGGGCAAGCGGGGGCGGGGGGCAGTCCCATCTCTCCTGTGTACGGGTGGGTTCTGTCTCCAGTCTCGGAGGGGGGCAAGAAGCTAAGAAAATTTGATATTTACTTCTAGACTAGCACCGTGGAAGGCGGCGGCCATCCGCGCGTATCTAAGTGTGCGTGTCCTAAGTGTCGGTGTCTGCAGCCTCCTCCTGGAGCCTAGCAGGAAGGCGGCCGGCGGTGGGGCGAGGGGGAGGCGGGGGGGGGGGGGGGGTATTGTCCCCGCTCCGCCGAAAAGGCTTGGTCCTTTTCACCCAGGCCGGGGGGGGGGGGGGGGGGGGGGTTT